GGGGGGGGGGGTAGGCACAGATTGGTTCTAAGTGATTTAAGAAGCAATTAAACCCCTCAATCTCCTATTCCTCTCCCTGCCCCTGGGCAACCACCCTCTCCCACCCAAGAAAGGACTAATTTTAGTTTCTGGAGAAGGTAAAACAGGCTATCCGGAACCAGCTTCAGGCACCATGAAGGATGAGGGCACCGCCAGTAGCCAGGGATTAAAAGAATGGTTGCAAACTGAACACTGAGATTCCCAGTTGTCCGCATCTAGCTCCCAGAGTATTGTGAGTCAGTCAGGAGGCTGACAGGGTCTCTGGGGAATCTCTCAAACCCAAGGGGAAAATTTTGAAGATACTATAGCAGGAGTTCCCCCAATAAATGGGCCAGCTAGTGCACTCTACAGTTCACCTTATATTTCGCAAGTCACATTCAACCACAGAGACCTCCCTAGGGCATTTTTGTCTTCTACTCTTAAAAAAGGATCAGACATCAGATAAAAATTCTAATATAAAATGCAAAGACCAAAATAATCAATCAATCAATCAATCAATCAATCAATCAAAAAACCTGGCAGGAATAGAGCCTATACAGATAGAAGAAAACTTCTAAACAGTAATCATCGTCATCATCTCAGTGAAACAGAATATTTCAAGCATGAAACAAAAATGGGATGCTCTGGAAGAAAAAAAGAAACATTAAGAGAACAACAAGAAAAGAAAACATTCTTAAAAATTAAACTATGATAGTAGAATTGAAAAATTCAACAGAACAGGTACAAGATAAAGCTAATGAGATGCCCAAGAAGGTAAAGCAGACGTATAAAGAGATGAAAAGTACCGAAGAAAGTTAGATATTCAGTTCCAGAAATCAAATCAATTCCAATAATAGAATCCAGAAGGAAAGAAATCATCAAAAAATTAATTCAGGAAAGTTTCCCAGAACTTCAGAATTTAAGTTGCCAGACTGAAAAACTAAATCATGGCAAATCATGACATTTCAGAACATGGGGAACAAAGAGAAAATCTTCCAATTTCCAGAGGGGTAGAAAAAAGTAAGGAGAGAAAAAAAGTCACACAAAGAATCAAGAATCAGAATGACTTCATACTATGCAACAATAATAGTAGAAACTAGAAGACAATGGAGTAAAAAAATTCAAAGGAAAATTGCTTATTTATTTATCTTACTTTTTTATATTAAACTTATTAGGGCGACAGTGGTTAATAAAGTCATAAAGGATTCAGGTGTACGATTCTATAACACATCATCTGTACGTTGTATTGTGTTCACCACCCCAAGTCAAGTCCCCTTCCATCGCCATCTATACCCTCTTCCCCCACCCCCTTCCTTCTGGTAATCACCATGCTGTTGTCTGTGTCTATGAGTTTTATTTTTTGTTTTGCTTAATCTCTTCACCTTTATCACCTATCCCCCAAACCCCCTCCCCTCTGACAGCTGTCAGTCTGTTCTCTATTGATGCGTCTGTTTCTGTTTTGTCTGTTCATTTATTTTGTTCATTAGATTCCACACGAGTGAAATCATATGGTACTTGTCTTTTTCTTGACAAGTTTATTTCACTTAGCATAATGCTCTCCAGGTCCATCACAAAGGGTAAGATTTCCTTCTTTTTTAAGGCTGAGTAGTATTCCATGGTGTAAATGTCCCACAGCTTTTTTATCCACTCAGCTACTGATGGAAACAGGCTGCTTCCAAATCTTGGCTCTTGTAAATAGCACTGCAAGGTAAATAGAAGGGCATGCATTCTTTAGAATTAGTGTTTTGGATTTCTTTGGATATATTCCAAGAAGTGGAATTGCTGGGTCATGTGGCAGTTCTATTTTTAACTTTTTGAGGTAATTCCATACTGCTTTTCACAGTGGCTGCACCAGTCTGTACTCCCACCAAAAGTGCATGAGGGTTCCCTTTTCCCCACAACCTCAACAACACTTGTTTGTTGATTTATTGATGGCAGCCACTCTGACAGGTGTGAAATGATATTTCATTGTGGTTTTAATTTGCATTTCTCTGATGATTAGTGACATCAAGCATCTTTTCATTTGTCCATTGGCCATCTATATGTCCTCTTTGGAGAGGTCTCTATGCAGGTACTTTGTCTATTTTTAATTGGAATGTCTGGGGTTTTTTGTTGTTGAGTTTTATAAGTTCTTTATAAATTTTTGATATTAAGCCCTCACTAGATGTATCATTGGAAAATATGTTCTCCCATTCAGTGGGTTGTCTTTTCATTTTGTTGATGGTTTCTTTTGCTGTGCAAAAACTTTTTAGTTTGATGTAGTCCCATTTTTATTTTTTCTTTAGTTTCCCTTACCCAAAGAAATATATCAGAAAAAAATATTGCTATGAGAAATGTCCAAGATTTTACTGCCTATGTTTTCTTCTAGGATTTTTATGGTTTTGAATCTAACATTTAGGTTTTTAATCCATTTTGAGTTTATTCTTGTGTATGGTATAAGAAGGTGGCCTAGTTTAATTTTTTTACACATCTGTTCAATTTTCCCAACACCATTGATTGAATACATTATCTTTACCCCATTGTATGTTTTTGCCTCCAAAGAAAAATCATTTGTAGCCTAGAATTTTATACCCAAACTACCAAAAAATGTGAAAGTAGAAAAAATAAGTCATTTCCAGACATAATGTTTCAAAACATTTCCTTCCAATACCCCTTCTCAGAATGCTTCTAGGGAATATATTCCAACAAAAGAAGAAGCCAAGGGGAAGACATTACATAGTGGAAAAAGAGGAGTGAATTCAGGGGAAACACAGGGAATCTAAGGAAGTACAAGGGGCAACCGGCCCTGGCGGATCAGGTTAGGAGGCTCAAGAAAATAAAATGAATAAAATATCTGATGAAAATAAATATCTTGAAGTAAAAGCAATTTAGGGTTAAGTTAATGGTAAGTATACATAATAAGTAGTATATATAAAATGAATTATTGCTAAGAACATATTTTAAAAGGTAATTATTAAACTACAACAAATGGTGTAAATTATGCAGAAAAATAAGAAGTCAGGTCCAACTGAACAAAAGTTTAGTTAAAAATGTATCATAAACCACCTCTTCCCCAGACAGGCCACTGTATGCTGGGAAAGTTACAAACAGGAAGCCGGATGTTTGCATAAATGTGGGACCTAAAAGCTTTTTGGTCAATAGTCACTTAGTGATACTTTCTTACAAAAATGAAGAACTAAAAATAAACGTTTTCAATATAATTTTTAAGTAATAATCTACATGAGATTATTGCAATTTGAGAAGCAAGAAGGGTTGATTTTTCATGCTCAGATATGATATAAAGTTGAAGTCAGCAACAGAAGCAGACTGAAAACCAGAAGTGCTTTCCAATTAAGTCCTAAGTGCCCAAGGAAGGTTGTTTTCAAGTTTCTTTCACTGGATCTGCAAGAAAGCTGAGGGTGAGGGCAAAGCAGCTGCTCCTGGGCTCAGCCCCATTTCCAGCAGCGAAGTCCCTGCAGAAGAGCTTTAGCACAGACCCGCAGGTGCACACGCCGAGCACCACAGGCCTGGAAGCGCCCCAGCCGGAGCTCCACTCTGAAATCTGACATTAGGGTTACACAATCTGGCTAAGAAACTACTCTAGCCTACAAAGAATTCTGGAATCGCTGTCCTTCCACCACTTACCAAGTGCTACTGTCCTTTAAGTGTCTTCGCCAACCCTAGCAGCTGTGTCACTTTCTTACAAAAAAGTTCTTGAGTAAAGTTAATTGCTTCTTGTGAGTATCATTATTTTCTAAGATTTGAATTTTCAGTTTTATGAAAAGAAATGTTTATTTTCTTTCAGGGTTAGCTCACTTGGGATGTTCTATTATCATCATCATAAAAATGCCTGTTTATGCCTACTCCATGGCACTTTCCCCACAGCCAGATGACCTAGGCTCACCACTTCCACACAGCCAGTGTTCCTTACCATTTTATGAATTTCACATCATTGGTACAGTCTGTGCCCAGGATACCACTCACCATTTGGTGCATACAGTGAAAGATTTTTAGAGTAATCTAATGATAAAGAACAGACATGTGTTGGATGGTGGGTTCCAAAAGCCAGTGACGTTTCAAGAGCCAGCTAACTATCTATAAAAATTTGGCTTAAAGCATTTAGACTTCTTAATGATTTGGTTTGTTACCATATCATTTCAAATCTTCACTTTTCAAACCAGTCTTTAGGCACATTAAACATTAAAACAGTAAACATTAAAACAGCAACAAGGAACAGCTTCTGAATGAGTCATAAGTTCTTTAGTAAAGTGTATTTTGAAACTCTAAAATAAAAGTCATTCTTTCTCAACATATTGGATACTTTTAAAATGAATCAGATTCTATACTGTATGATCTCACTTACATGTGAAATCTAAAAAAACCTAAAAAACAAATGAAAAAAACACACAAACTTATGGATACAGAGAACAGATCGGTGGTTGCCAGTGGCAGGAGAGAGTGAAATGAAGGGGAGTGATCAAAAGGTAAACTTCCAGTTATAAAATAAATAAGTCATGGAGATGTAATGTCCAGCATGGTGACAATAGTTAATAATGCTGTATTGTATATTCAAAAGTTCCTAAGAGAGTAGATCTTAAAAGTTCTCATCATAAAAGGGGAGCTTCAAGTATTGTTGGTAGGACTGCAATTGGTGAGGTACTACAGAAAAGAGTATAAAGATTCCTCAAAAGATTAAAAATAGAACTACCATATGACCCTGCAATTCCACTTCTGGGTATTTATCCGAAGAAAATGAAAACTCTAGTGGATATATGCACCCCTATGTTTACTGCGGCACTATTTACAACAGCCAAGACGTGGAAGCCACCTAGGTGTCCAGAGATAGGTGAATGGATGGAGAAGATGGCACAAAGGAATATTACTGAGCACTGTAAAAGAAAGAAATCTTGCCATTTACAACAGCATGGGCGGACCTACAGGGTGTTATGCTAAATGAGTAAGTCAGACAGAGAAAAGCAAATACCATATGATTTCACTTATATGTGGAATCCAAAGCAAACAAACAAAACAAAATAAAAACAGACTCAGAAAAAGAGAGCAAATAATGTTGCCAGAAGAGAGAAAGGTGGGGAAATGGGAGAAAAAGGGGAGGGGAATAAGAGGTACAGACTGCCAGTTGTAAAATAAGTAAGCCATGAAGAAGCAGAGCACAGCACAGGAACAGAGTTGGCAATACTGCACCACCTACGCGTGGGGACAGACGGTTACTAGACAGCGTGGCGATCACATCGTAAGGTACATAAATGTCAAATCACTGTGTTACACAGCTGACACTAATATACCATTGTATGCTGACTATACTTTAATAAAAAAAATTGTTGTAAGTTCTCACATAAGAAAAAAAACTTAGTACGCGTGGTGATGGATGTTAACTAGATTTCTTCTGGTAATTGTTTCACAATGTTACTTATTAAATCACTATGTTGTACACCTGAAACTAACATGTTATATGTTAATTATATGTGAATTTAAAAAAAGAATTAGGTTCTGACCTTTAACCAGAATTTTTAAATTTTATAGATACGCAAACTTTATGAAATGCAAACATCAAAGTCAAGGTTAAAGAGAGGCAACAAGGCAAATAGAAATCACAGCTGCATGGATGACGCTGCCACCTTGATGCCATGGAGACTCTGACTAGCTCTTTTGATTTGCAATTGATAATTTTTCCAGCCTTGCTCCTATCTTCTCTTGAGAAAAACAAACACCTCTGACGTCTGGCAGTGAGTCCTTTCAAGTAGTGAAGGCAAGGTGCTTGGAGATCTGTTGCTGGATGAAGGGCAATATAATATGCACTGACTGTCAGGCACTGGACCAATAATACAAAATAAAAAATGGTTTGACATCTTCTCTGTAACCCCCAAAAAGTCAATCATAAAACTTTCAACTATCAGCACAGCTTCTGCTATTGCCAGAAAAAGAACCACCTAGTGCACCAAGTAATGGTACAGTAGATTCCACTGACTCCATGACCAACTCACAATTTTTTCCCTAGAGATTAGTATTCCCAATTCCGGCCTGGTCTTTGTTTTCAAATTTTGCTGGAGCATACGGAACAGTTATGTAAGTCCTCTTGGGCACTGCAAGTATCCTCAGAAGCACTACTTATGGTTCTAGTAAAACTCTGTAGGAGAAAAGGCCCACAACAAGTAAAACTAATGAGAAACTGGTGGCAACTAAAATTTGGGTGTATAAAGATTGTTCTAAAATGACATTATTAAATTGGCAAGGATCTACATTTGGGGAAAAAATATAATTTGCTGATATAGGGACAACCAGGAAAAAATGTAAAGGCAGTCAAACTACTACTATCAATATGACAGTGTTCAAAAGTATAGCCACCGAAAACCCAGTCAAAGATCCTGGGTTGAGTATTAATTCTGCTACTTGCTAGCAAGTTTGTACTCCTCTCTCAGTAGCATCATTTTAGCCAGGTAATTCCAAGTTGTTGTGTATTATAAATAGAGAGAGTATACATAATTTCCCATCAGTAAGGAGGTGATAAAACATGGTATCTTCTCAATCTCTTGAAGTTTTTACAAGGAACAAAGGGTCTAAGGTAGGTGAATGACTTCTGTAATAAGTATAACAGAAGTTAATCAACAATATAAATATAGCCCTGGCCAGTTTTCTCAGTGGTTAGAGGGTTGCCTGTGGCCTGAAGCGTCCCGGGTTCACTTCTGGCCAAGGGCACGTACCTCGGCTGCAGGCTCCACCCCCAGCCCCAGTCGGGGCACGAGCGGGAGGCAACCAATCAATGTGTTTCTCTCATATTGATGTTTCTCTCTCTCTCTCTCCCTTCCACTTTCTCTGAAAAGAGAGAAATGGAAAAAATAATCTTGAGGGAAGATTAAAAAATAAAAATAAATAAAAACAACTCATTTTAAAAAATTACAAATATAATTGATAATTCTTTTCAATTTAGGCAAATTTAAGTAAATTACTTCCCTAAGTGTGAAAAACCTGCCCTGTCATTTTTATAATTTAAACTGTAAAACTTAAATGATGAAAATCAAAATAATGCTTTTAAGTTACCTTCAATATCCAAACTTGTTTGCATATTAAAACCACCACAAATATTATACAAGCAGGTTTTTCTTTTAAGTCAAATAAGAGGCTATTTGAGGTCAAAATAATCAGGTATCGCTTTTTAAAAGTAGCTAATCTGCCCGGCCAGCGTGGCTCAGTGGTTGAGCATCGACCCATCAACCAGGAGATCGCGGTTGATTCCAGGTCAGGGCACATGCCCCAGTTGCAAGCTTGATCCCCAGGAGGCAGTCAACAGTGACTCTCATCACTCATGTCTCTCTCTCTTTCTCTCTCTCCTGCCCTCTCTCTGAAATCAATATAAACATATTTTAAAAATAAATAAAAGTAGCTAGTCTAAGTAAATTTCCTAGTTTGATGATGGTCCACACTTTGAGGCTGAAATCTGAGAATATCCTATATTATAATGGAAGGGCCTCTGTGTGTTGCTGTAGTTAACAGAAGTGGGCAAACTTTACTTTTTACAATGCAAAAATTAGAATAACCGTAATTTGTGCAATTAAAATTTTTGAAGATTCTCTCATGCTCTCTGCAACATTTTACAAGATATAATAACAATACAGCTCTGAGATGTTTTCCTTTAACATGTGGTGTCTTCATGCTGGGGAACATTATCAGTTTTAATCGATTTTATTTCTATCACACTTACTTTTTTGTGATAAAAGCTACAGAGTCTTCTCTCTATGTCAGGCAATTTATGTAGATGATTTTCTATCTGACCAAACACACTGGATTCGGAATGGAAAACTTCAGACACAGCATCCAGCCAGGCATTTATTTCCCTGTAAGAACAGCAACAGTAATTGTGAGAGATGTGGTAGCAATCAGAATGCAGACATCACCCACACTAAAGCCCAGCACTGGGATGAACCACTCAGAAAAACACAAAGGAGGTTTCTCCACATCTCTGGTCCTTTCCTGACCCTCATTTGAATCAAAAAGCAGGTACCACACAAGGAAAGTCATGGGGGGGGGGGGGGCAGAGACTGGCTCATCGGGTTTTTCCCTCCTCCTGGGAAGACACAGAGATTACATTTCTGTCTCCCTTGAAGCTGGGTATGGCCAGGTACCTAAGTTCTGGCCAATGAACTGTGGGTGGAATGATTAAGCCACTCCTAGCCCTGGCCCATAAAAACCTTCTGGATGTCCACTCTCTCCCTCTTTGCCAGCTAGATATTGAGTCCAGGACAATCTTGTTTACTCCATTAGCCTGGATCCCTGAAAAGAGCAAAACCCCTCCAATCCCACATCCACTACCCACTGGACTTTACATTAGCAAGAAATAAAACTTCTATTGCATTTAAACCAGATTGAGGATTTATGTGCTACAACTGCTTGCATCACCTTGGCTACTGTAACAGGTCTACAATGGGCAACTAGATTCCCCTGACGGAAATGACTGACCATCTCAGTTAAAAACCAATTCACTCCATTAACCAACTGCTCCGAGAGAAGACTCGGTGGGGGGGTGAGCTGATCACTGTTTGAGTGACGTGGGATTAGGCACACAGAGCCGGAGCAAAGACTGGGAGCAGCTACAGAAAGTGCCGAGGACATGACATTGGGAGACATGGGAGACCAGGGATGCAGGAGTCTATCAATGTCTATGCCCTAAGTGAAGGGTCACTGGGGAAGAAATGGTGAGACTCTGTCATCTTAAAGTGGAAACCCGACTGTGTCCTACATGCAATGTGGCCCATCTAGTTCCTATAAACACCAAAGGTCTACGCTGGGCGTAATGGCCATATGTGGTATTAAAGACTGAGATAAGTAAACCTATCTAGTGGCTGGCAGGCCCTCAGCGAACGTTGTTTTGAATGAAGGAATGAATGAACAAACAGGCAAATGAAAGAATGAACTGACACTTAGGGGGACAGGGGGACATCAGCTCCTAAATACACATTTGTTTATCAAAGTTGTGTTGAACACATACTCACATGAAAGGGCAAACTTCACATCAGAGTCTTGCCTGGATGACTGTTAAATTGAGTACTTTGCCATTAATTGGGTGTTTTTATCTTTATTATCTTTATAACTATCCTGTGAGGCCAAGCCTGCTCCTGATACAGAAACTAATTTCAGGTCTCATTTCTGCTCCACTTTTCTCTGGCTGTGAATCAGGCATTCGTCGAGCATGGCAGAGCAGAACAAGGCAGAGTGCGGTCCACATGCCGGTGGGCTCTTCTGTTCTCACTGGGCGGCCTCTTAAATCCACCCATTTCTCTCCATCTCTGCTGCCATTACACTAGTCTCAGTAAAAGATCATTCCTCAGAGAGGCTCCTGAAACAGCCCCCTAACTGTCCTCCCACAGCCGCTCTGCCCCTTTTCCAGCCCGTTCTCCGCGCCACCCTGAGAAGTCTTCCTAGAACCCAAATCTGTCACGTCGTATCTCTGACTTCAGCTCAGCGACGACTTGCCACTAATGTTAGGTTCAAACCCGAATCCTTAACTGACCTACAAGACTTAAGTGATCCTTGTTTATGTCTCAATTCTCACTTCAGAGCACCTGTCACCCTCTTCCTCTCACTCCAAACTTGAGTCAGGCTGAACTTCCAATATCTTGGTCTCTCCAGGTCCTCTAACGTCAGAGCTTTCAAGCTTACTGCTCACTCTGCCTCAGAGACTCTTCCTCTTCCCTACAACCTACGGGCTCCTCCCCACCCTTCCTCCAGGAGGGCTTCCTAGGTGCATTAGGCCAGGGGAGTCCTTCCCAGCCCCTCCCACACCACCCTCCAGTTTCTCTCCACGGTGAAAATCGTAACTGCTTACCTCCTCACTGTCCTTTCCACTAGACCGCAAGCTCAGTGAGAACAGGGATCCTAGCTTCATTCCCACAGTTCTCGGATCACAACATGTGCTCAATAAATAGTTGTTGAATTCAACCCAATTCAATTCCAAAGGCTACATATAAAGTAAAGCAAGATGAGGTAAAAAATAAATAAAAAGTTAAATCCTCTTTGCATAGGATTGTTGTGGTAAAACAAATCAATGTTTTACCCTAACATTTACCCAAAATGCTATACAAATATGAAGTTTTATTTTAATAACTCACCCATGAATAAATGAAAGACGACACCGATAGGAATAGACTAAGATGATGCTACAGATGGTATGAGGACAGATAAAAGAATGCCATCTGTGAATGTAGACAGCCGACAAAGATAGCTACTCTCTCAAAAGTTATAAAGGTTGTCTGAGATATGAAAAGATAAAAGCAAAAGAGGTTACTGAAAAATCCAAATCATATTTATGAAGTCCACCAGAACATTTTTTTTAAAATAAACATAAAACTATACATTTCTTAGAAAGAGACTGAAAAGGTTGTACTAAGCTGGCTTGCAATCTGGGAAAATACACTCAACACTACTGGTCGGAACGAACATGCACTAGGACGACCGGTATGGAAACCAGTCCGGAGGGTCCTCAAAAGATTAAGAACAGAGCAATCCCCTTTTCCAGGTATTTACTAGAAAAATTTGAAAACATGTAAAGATGTATGTACCCCTATGTTCACTGCACCATTACTCACGGTGGCCAAGACATGGAGACAACCCAAGTGTCCTTCGGCGGGTGGCTGGACAAAGATGTGCATGTGCCGTGGATACTACGCAGCCGGGAGAGAGGGTGAGGTACTGCCGCCTGGGACGTCATGGGTGCATCTGCAGCGTCTCGTCTAAGTCAGACAGAAAAGGAGAAGAATCCTATGATTTCACTCCTTCGTGGGATATAAAATGGAAAGCAAATGAACGGTCCGAGCAAACAAAGTCGCAGACAGCTAACAGGACGGTGGTTACCAGAGAGAGAGGTGAGGGCATGAAGAGGGCAAAGGGGGTCAAATATACGGTGACGGGAGGAGGCTAGATTCTGGGTGGTGAGCACACAATGCAATATACAGACGTATATGAACCAATGTCACTCCAATAAATTTAATTTTTTTTAAAACCATGATACATGGTTTTTAAACAAATGAAAAGACACCTACCTGAGTCATTTCATTCCATATGACAAAAACAATGGACTTAAGGTTCTGGGGATGACAAAGATTGCTTTTTACCACCGAAACACCAAGGACTAAATGTGGGTGTCACTGGAGTCCTTCACATTTGAAGATGAGCTGGGTGATGACATTAGAATTTGTTGTGTGTGGCTGTCACCGAGAAATTCAGTGCCTGACCTACAGCTATTGCCATTGAAAGGACATGAGATGGAGTCCGTACCTGCTGATTGCTATTCATGGAGATGCCTCTATAATTCTAACTTAAGGTTATTTAGGGGAAAACATTAAAATACAAACTGCTGAGAAGAGGTTGTTTTCTATTGTTCTAATTTCTCCTGAAAAGTTTGCTCTAAAGACAGTTGACATAAAATGAATAAATTGAATTCAGATACTAACACACTGATTATGCAATATGGCTAAACTAACGACCTAAACAGATTTCTACTGTCCTAAACGTCTCACACCTACCCTCTCTTTCAGGTTCCTACTGATACTGATTTAGCTCAGGTCCTCAGAACCTCTCCATGAACTTGGTAACTTGCCCCCCACTTTGTCCCCTCCGACATACAAGCCCGGCTCTGGCCCTATCTTCCCATGCTCAGAGCCACTGAGTTAACTTCCTCTGGCTACCAACTCTTCAGCCCAGCCTGCAAAGTCCTCTCCGAAAGGCAGCACCTCATCTCTCCAGCCCCCTCCCCTCTACCCCCTTATGCTACTGATAACAAACTAGCTGTATAACCTGCTTTCCGCAACACACCCCATGTCTTCCAATCCTCAAGCAGGCTCATTCTTGGGGACGAGGGAAACTCCTCACAATATCAGACAGTCTACCGCCAGATACAAAATTAAATCTTCCCCAATTTACAACTGTGTTCTTATAACTCATGGTAACCTTGATTTTAAAGAGACCGACATACCTTTAATTTCATAACTTTATATAATTTTAGATTAAACACACACACACAAATTCCCTTTACCTTAATTTAAGAAGAGGCTGAGTCACCCAATTCTTTAATTTTCGTCTTCCAAATGAAGTTTTAGTATGGTCTAAAACCCAAAATAAACTTCCTTTGGTTTTCATATCAGTCTATGAAAGAGCAGAAAACAAGTTTTATTAATTAGACAATTGTATTTGAACCAAAATTGTTAGTTGGTCATGTGGTAACTATTCCATGTATCACAATTTTCAATGTTACATACACCTAGCATAAAGAATGGCTCATAACAGGTGTTCATTTAATGTTTGATGAGTAAATATGTGTGTAAATATAACATAATACACACACATACACACACACACTATATATATAGAAAGTATTGATATTTTGCACAGAAAAGAGATAGTCCATGTCATTTTTTATTAACTAAGAATAAATTATTCAAAAATCTCTTTTGAAATATATATTTGTCCTAAACACCTTAAAAAGATAATTATATATTTTCCTGCCTTGGGAAATAGTGAAGGTAATTTAATTTTCCTTTGGCAATTCAGTATCTCCCACTGCCTCAGAAACTCTCCGAAAGACCCATGCTCTTGTGACAGCCTTGCAGGAGCAAGAGGCCCTGGAAACAGCTGTGAAGTTGCCCTGCCCCCAGGGAATTTACCCTGGACGGGTTTTATTTTAGTCTGTTTTATTAAATCCTTAGTAAAAGTTTATCTATCTATACTTCGCTATTTGAAAGTTGAGTCATAAACAATTTTACAATTAACTAGAGATGATGGTTTATTTTAACCAAAGTTTCACTATAGTACAAAAAATCTATTCATAGATTAAATCTTGTTTGGAACATAAAATTGCAGTTTTCACCTGAATGGTTTTATTTTAACTTTTCCTTCCCCTTTCAAACCATCAAGCAGGTGCTTACAGAACACCTCCCCACGTATTCAGTTGTGTGGCTGGCAAAGGTACATTAAGACATGTTCCCTCCCTCAGGGCGCTTATATCCAAGTTTGGGAGAGAAGACTCATCATCAGGACACAAGGCCACCTGGCAGAAATAAACTATAAAAGGAATGACATAAGCTCCCCAGGCCTCCAGAGTTTAAGGCAGAGCGCAAGGGGGCTACAGTGGTCACAGAGGTTCCCCGAGGATGGAGCCGGACGGGCAGAGCCGACAGATGAGGCTGGTCCAGGTCGGCAACAGCACCACCCTCCCGAGGCAAGAGCCCCACTGGGTGCTGCAGCAAAGGGTCCCAAGAGGAGGGCAGGGGAGGGGAATCGCGCTCCAGTCACCTGGCGTCGCTGGAGGAGCAGGCTCGGGAGATAGGAGACGCGAGCCCTGCACGCCTCTGCTCCCCGACACCCGCATCCAGAAGCGAGGCTAAGCTGACGCGGACGCACATGTGCAGATGCTCCTTCGCGGCCTCTGTTCCACGGGGGCGCCGGTCTCAGCAGTGGAAGGCTTCTTGGGGGGCACTTGGACTGCAGATGATTTCTGCCCTCGGAATGCGACCCCAGAACCGATTCTGCAGGAGTAGGGCTGGAACAGGGAGGATGTGGGGAACACGGAGAGCGTGGATGGCTGGGGCTGGGGCTGCAGGCTGACTGTGAGCTCTTCTCATCCAAGGAGTGTTCTTTCATTCCTACTATGTGCTTCCTGTCATGGGGATATAGACAGAGTTGGTGAGAAAGACGCGTGGGAAAGAGTCTCACTTGTGGATAATGGAATGACAAGATAAAAATGTTATTGAATGGAAATAAGGTGGACTCTAGTATACAAAGACAGTCTGGAAGAGGGAGAAACTAAATAAGAGGAACTAGTTAGTAGTATACAAATCCAGGAGTCAGGAGAATAAATTCGGCATTTATTATCATTCACAACAGTAATAAATGTTTCTGAAGAGCTTTAAACCATTTGACTCAGATGAAATGACTTGAAACTGATTCTTATTTCTATTACTTTGTTATGATAACATTAATTTTATAATATAATATCTCACATTACCACATGACAACTTAATAAATGAAAGCAATAATTTCAATGACTCCATTATCTTCCCAACTCATCAATACAGGGCAAATAAACAATGATGAAAGTTTGTAAAGGGAACTATTACACGTCTTATAGTCTAATTGAATATCACAGTAACTTGTTTTATATGCTGCATAATAAAATAAGACTGCACATACTTCAACAAAACATTAAAGCACGTAGAAAGATATAATCAAGCAGACCAAAAAAATCCACTTCATATGACTTTTCAAAAATGATGCTCTTCCAAAGAAATATTTGATACAGAAATTATCTAAATGAGCATGTTACTTCAATCATTGAAAAGGACAACTAGCTCTATAGCTCCCAAAGTAACCCCACAGAAGTACTTCCTATATGGTATTTGATTCGCCAAAAAGCGGGTGCCACAATTATCAACTAATAAATAGGTAACAGGCAGAGCAGTCAGTTGAAGACAATATTGTTGCTTTCACCTGTACTCCCAAGAAAAAACTGCTACTTCATTTTAAATTTTGTTTTCAAAACCATTTGAATCAATAGCCCTTAGGTTTACCTGACCTGATTCTATAGCATTTCAAGATTCCTTAATGTTGTTCCATTAATTGTCATAAATTCCATTTCACCTGACAACTGTTTAAAATTCCTGTAAAAGAACAAAATATGAGCCATGATGTAAGTCCATAAAGAACTTTTAAAACTAATTTAGGCACTAAGAATATTTCAGTAATCATCTGACAAAAGTTAGCTCCTTGACAGAGAAGTGAGCCAAAAGAGCAATAGGAACGTTCACTGGGAGACCGTCTCCCACTGACGCTGGCGTCATTAAACAAGCTGAAGGCAAAGTAAGGACAGTTGCTCTCAAACCAACCATGAGAACAAGGAAGGAAAGTAAGTGTTACCAACAACTTTCTTATATATTTCCAGAAATAGAACCAAATACAGCCTTTTATCATTGGCAGAGCATGTAGTAATGTGGTGTCTTCAGGAAACAACTACGCAATTAGCTAATAAAATATGTCAACATACTTTAAAATGCCCTTATCTTTTAGCATGAGATCATCCTGATAAACCCTTAAACAGATTTTAATAGATATTCTGATATGGGCAACAAATGTTATTTACTCTATAATTAACAATGCACATCAACGTGGCTAATGTTTTAGTAGAGTATAAAACTGAAAAAGTAGCAGAAATTACTGCCCTGCGCTCAAAGAATCCACATTCTCCTTATGTCCCTGTAACTATCTCAAACTAGATTAAAAATTCAATAAATTTCAAAAAGACCTGACTATTGAGTTGCAATATGATTAATAAATGTATGCACAATTCCAATTTTGTCCTCATTAGTCTTTCACGTTAAAAAGTATATTAATCAATGCATGACTGATAGAGGAATTCAATTTCCTTTATAAGCCAGCCAGCCAGTCCTTTGACGTTTCTATCAATAGCACTTACAGACTTGATGGCTTAAAGGCAAGAAACATAAAGGCAAGGTCACTAAACTATTTGGAGGGAGATGACTGTTTCCATTATGACCTAACCGCACTTATCATGGCTGCAGTAAGATTGAAATAAAGCCCAGTTTCCCAAGCCAGGTACGGAAACAAGCCCTCATCCAGGAATCTAGAGCCTAAAATCAAAGCCAGTGTTCATCGCAAGATGCCTCCACATCTAGATGACCCCCCAATTACAGCTCCAAAGCCCTGAAAAAGAAATAACTTACTGCACATTAGGAATGTTGCCTAGTAACCGAATGCCGTCCTTTGGCAGTGCAATTTATCTGCGACAGATCTGACCTAGCGTCCAAAGGATGATAACTTGTTAATGATTTTCAGAGGGAAGCAACTCCAACACTGATTGATACCAGGAGCATGTAGCCCTTTCTCTCCTCCTTATAGCAGTTATTCATTCAATAACTTAATTTGCCTGGCATTACAGCAATTTATTTATGTTCTTGGGCTGCCCTCATCACTAGATCTTAGCTCCTTGGGGGCAGGGGTCATTAATGTCACACCTTTTGCAGCACTTGCAGGGCCCAGCAGAAAGTAGGTGCTCAACAAATGTCTGTCATCTTCCTATACGGAAGCCAGTGTGGGTTTGTTTTCCTTTGCTCAGAAATGTCTGTGAACACCCAAGGTCAGTAATAAAATGTCAAACATTATTTTCAGGAAGAAACAATTAGGCAGTGACTGGCTATGAAGCTGACAGGTACTCACACAGTTTCATGGTCAAAAATCCAAGCTGGAAGAGTTGACAGCCTAGACTCAGAGTTGGTATCTAACCAGTTCCATGTGTTTAGATATATCAGTTACTTCCCCTGTTCATGAAAGTTGGGTTTAACCTACACAATTAACACTGTGCTCCTCAACTAGACACAGACTCCAGAGGGATGCTTACCTGGCATGAGAGAAAGACTAATTAAGAACCCATAATCCAGCAGCCTTTCCTTAAAGCACCTCAGAAAGCTGCCTTATCTCCCATGAACATCAGGTGTAAAATAAAACAGAGGGCACTTAGCATGTGTAGACCGTCCACAAATACTGCTCAGTTGCCTTCACCCTCACAAGAACATGTAAACCCAACAGTCCATACCCTGAAGAATGGTGTTGTAGGTTTAGGATTCCTAAAGCCTCCCATTCCACCAGTTATCTGAGGGTTCTATCACCTAACACCAACTGAAAGTGAAATCCTGCTCCTCCTGTGCCTCGAGTGAACCTCTGAAGCAATATACTGTCAGAACATCAAGACCCAGAATTCGAATTTCAAGACACTTACAGAAGAGTTTACATGACTGCTTTTGCACCTGCTTTCTTAAACGTATCTATACACGTGGCAGAATTTTGTTTGGACTAACACACAACCTGGTAGAGAGAGGGGTGGGGAGAAGGCTTAGAGCGCTCACCTACATATAATTACTGGGGCTCCCAATATCTACAGTTTCAAAAAGAATCCAGTAACTATGAACAACGAAATTGGCTTAAGTTAGCTCCTTTTATTGCGCTTCGCAGATGTGCAGGTAGAGTATTACAAACTGACGGCAAGGCCCTCCACCCGCAAAACGATACGGCTCGCTTTACAATACCGGCTTTACCGCAGTGGTCTGGAACCAAACCCACAAAATCTCCAAGGTCTGTCTACAGGTTCTTTCCTCATTTAGCAGTGTTAATGAGATGCGCATATGGGGTTTTTGTTGGTTTTATGTTCGTTTTTTGCCATTACTGAACAAGTCATCTAGACTTCAAAGTAGATGCTGGGAGAAGCAAAGAGTTTCTTTAAACTGACATCTGCATTGATTTTTAATAAAAGATCAACCATTGGACAATATTAAATTAGACTGATCCCCATGGAGCAATAATTATCAAGCAATTATAAGAACCAATTTTGTTGCTGGGTTTCCCAAATGTTTGGTTAATAATATGTTCTGGAGTTGAGACTGTTGTATCCAAATGCGAAAGAAATTTCCTTGTGTCTGTCCTATTTCCATTGGAAATTGTATACATTTTTAAACTAAGGGTTGAATCTACCAGCATTCTTCAGCGCTATATGGTCACTGATCTAAAGTACTCAAACAATTCTGAATTATTTATCCTTTCGGAGGAAGCCAAATTTCATGTGCTTTGAAATGAACCTCATAAATAATGCCTGGCTAGAATTCATGCTGTGTGAACCTAGATAGAAATATTATAAGTAACATGGGAAAATATTTCATTAATATTTAAGACAATAAAAATACAAAGGATGCTTTTGTTTCCTCAAGTTTCAAAATGGGAGGAAATATACTTGCTACTAACTTGCCAGAGAAATTTAAGACACAATATCATTCCTAAACTACTTTAAAAAAAGAAAAACCATCTTTCCGAATTAGAGGCAGTAAAGGTACAGAACCTAATTCGAAAGATCAACCCCTTTCAAAGATCCTATTTAAATATTAGTTAAAAACAGAAACAAAGACCAAAAAAAAATCTATCATGTTACATATGAAATCAATTGTGGAAAATAGTTCTCTATGTACAGTTTTCAGAGGTCATCCATTTACCATTTGCCTAATCTTTTGATGGTTAATTTAATTATTATAAATTTAATTTTATAAAATTAATATAAATTTTAATTATTATAAGTTGCATTATATTACAAAATTCGTTTTATTGTAAATTCACTTCTACTTGATTTGTAATTAAACAGAATGAGTATCTTTGCACTCCTAAATGCTTCCAATAAACATATTAGAGAGGAAAATAAAAAGAAAGGTGTATAACAGATCCCAAATAACTGCCAGGTTAAATGACTCACTAGGAAGATACACAGAACTCAGTATATATTCATTTGGCTCTGATTTATTACAGTGAAAGGATACACAGCAATATTTGCCCTGTCTAGCCCCACCAGCGTGGCTCAGAGGTTGAGCATCGACCTATGAACCAGGAGATCCAGGTTCAATTCCCGGTCAGGGCACATGCCTGGGTTGTGAGCTCGATCCCCAGTAAGGGGCATGTAAGAGGCAGCCAATCAATGACTCTTTCTCTCCCTCTCTCTTCCTCTCTCTGAAAAAAATTAAAATAATAATAAATTTGACCTACCTAAACAAGCCTCACTTAATCCATCCTTAAGAACAATTCCTGAAATGGTATATTTTCCTCCATCAACCTTTGTAAAGGCACGAAGACCTTTAAATAAATGTATATCAAGACTTTTAGGGAATATGCAGCAACTTCTGTTGAAAGCATTTGCAAAACAACATAACTAAAATTTCCCCCACAGCTCCTGAAAGAAAAATATAATCATACCTTATGCTGCTGAACTTTTAAAGCAATACAACTGAATTTTAAATACAGAAGGAGAACATTCACGTTTTCCAAAGTAATGACTTTGAGAGGTTACATTCCTTTCCCAAGACATAAGAACTGTGGAATTACACTTTGGGAATTACATTCAGAGTCAAATCGCATGCCACCCATAAAACATCATCACTCCCATTTCATTTTTAAGCAAAAAAAAATAGTACCGGTTTGATCTTGGTTCATTAATCTTGGCTCCCAAGGACATTTTTGCAATTTCTAATCAAATCCATGCTCACAGGATGAAGAACCTCTTCCTTCTTTCTTTTTCATTAATCCTGTATTTACTGACTGCCGACTAAGTGCTGGTCATATGCTAGGTGACATACAAAGAGAAGGCCTTGCGTTTTGGACCTCTGTGTACCTGTTATTGTCTGGCTCTATGGAGATGAGAGGAGGTAATTACCCAACAGGCAGATGAGACACACACTAAGTCACCAGCAGGTCCAGTTCCCTGACCACTCCCCAGCACCACCACCCAATATAAAGTTCAGCTACACTCAATTTATCAAGTCAGGTCATTTTAAAATAAGCTATTTTAATTTCAGTACGAATAAACATTTGTTTTAGTGTTTAGTATTATTTTTACTTAAAATTGCATGATGTTTTCAGGTCCAAATTCATCTACTTCTAAACATATGTGAGCCTGATTTTAGAAAAAGTCAGCTTTTTAGAAACAAATCTTTTGTTGTTTTTTTCAGAAACAATTTTTTTGTTGTTTTTATTCATTTTTTTATTTTTTAAATGTTTTTCGATTATGGTTTACATTCAATGTTGTTTTGTACTAGTTTCAGGTGTACAGCATAGTGGTTAGACACTCATATACTTTACAAGGCGCTTCCCCTGATATTTTCAGTACCTAACTAGTAATGGGCGAGTTGTTAGTCACTAGTTGTGCCTCACTTAGTTACGGGCTCCCTATCAGGAACAAGTCAGATGGTAGATCGCCTGTCACCCTTTCCTTATGGGGATCCAACACCATCAACCACACACAGCGATCTCTGCGATGTTTCCTATTATTGGATCTTAAAGAGAAATCTATGAAGTAGAACGCCAGGTCGCTACTTTTTTTAATAAAACATTTCAGCCACACTAAAACATGTATAGGTTAATATAATACCCAGGTTAAAAAATAAACATCAAGCAGAACTTCCCTGTGCCATTTCCCCCCGCCAGCCTCTATGGTTCCCCTCCATCCCCCTTCTGAATTGCTGCTGCTCATTCCCATGCACGTATTTACACCTTCTCAATACACGTATGTATTCTTAGTAACATACACTACTGCTTCACATGTTCCTAACATCACATAATGATCTGTATTGTGTGTCCTTCAGCAACAGCACTTTGATTTTCAGCTCAATATAATGCTAATGAATTTTTTTTACTATTGTAACTCCAGTCCATCCATTCACTTGCATTGCTGTAGGACATTACATGGCAAGAACATAATGCAGTGAACCCACGCTCATGTTGATGGACATTTAGGCTGCTTTTCAACAGGACAAAACTATTTCCAGAGAAATGATGGAGACAAAGATGATACCCTGTTCTATTCTAAATACCACATACTAGAACACACACCAAAATAAGACATTACAAAAAGATTCCCAAGGGACCTGTCTGTCTTCCACTCTCTCCAGCAACCCCAAACCAACACCACCTCTTTGTTCCTCAGTTCACACCCAGCCGTTTTACTCAGATAGATCCTGAGTCCACCCACCTCTGCAGGGCAGGAAGCAGTTGACTTATCCAGGATCAATATGATGGAGGGTAATTCTTTATAGAGCCAAAGACAAGGGGTCAGAGAAGGTGCAACCGAGAAAGGCAAGAAAGTCATCCCCCTATCTTTTTAAATTCCACTGATTTTTAAACTAGTATTTTCCTAGAATGTTACTTGCCAGCTTTTAAATCTCTGAACTCTACAAAGTTAATCACTCCTTTAAAAAGCTACCTATGTTAGAAGCTATCCTCTTTGTCTCCAACTTTATGGCCTATGAAATAAGAACTGAAACCAAGAATAGGAAAGGCAGTGAAATTTTATGAATGCTTTTTAATACTTCTTCACTTCTTATCACTACTTGCCAATTAACTGTGCTCTAGAATAAAGCACCATTTTGTAGTCAAAACTATACTACATTAAATAGCTATCATGAATACTAATTGACAGAATTCTCAAGGATTCTATCAGTGTTTTTATATCAGTTAACATTTTTAATATTCTTCAGCAACAATACCACATAGTTCATCCTTGCCCTCGAATAGTGTTCTATCAATAGCAAGTGAACTTCTCTGAGTACAGTACTTGCCAAATTCAAAGAATATTGTTAATATAAGCCACCCCTTTTTTTTATTTTTGAGGATCACTTACTTGGGTTTGGAAAGCGCCTTTGCCAAGTTAAATTACTAAGGTATCTTATAGCAGCCAAAAAGCAAATCACAGGCTTCTCCAAGTTAATGATGCCAGAAAAACTCTGGTAACTTAAAAACGGAACATACCTTCATTAGCATTATTATCCACTATTATTAAAAACAAATTTTTAAGTTAAAGAAAATTTAGTTTGTGGCTATCGAAATAATAGCTTAGACAATAGCTCCTAAAACTGCCCTCTGGGAAAATGCAGATGACTACAAATACCCAGGGCATGGAGCAAGGGCATTGTCTGAGGGTGGAATAAGCCTTTTGTAAAGCAACGGAGCAACTTTTTCAAAATGTAAACTGCTCATCTCCTCTGTCCCAGTAATACTCCAAAATGCATGTCGAAGATGCATAAACACGGAAGTGAGTTGAAAAATGCTTTGTAATAGCAAAAAATTAGAGACAACCTAACTGAATGTCAACAGAGCAACCGTTAAATAAATCGTGGTAAGTCCCGATTATTATACACCCACTAAAGGAATGACTTACTGCTCTCTGTACTGGTATAAAAAACTGTCCATAATATATTCCTGAGGGGGGAAAAAGTTATATGATGATTCTCATCTCTCAGCAGGAATATTGCAACAGCTTTCCTCCTGGTCTCTCAGCTCATCCCTGTGCCCTACAGAGTACTCTTACCAGCCCACCAAAGGAATCCTTTTTAAAATGTCCATCGAACCGTTAGACTACTTTGCTTAACCTTTTTTTTTTTTAAACATATCTTTATTAATTTCAGAGAGAGGAAAGGAGGGGGAGAGAGAGAGATAGAAACATCAACGATGAGAGAGTCACTGATCAGCTGCCTAGCCCACAAACCGGGCCTGTGCCCTGACCGGGAATCGAACCCCGATCGCCTGGATCCTAGGTCGATGCTCAACCTCTGAGCCACGCCCGGCCGGGCCTTTGCTTAAAGGTCCTCCAACATCCCCCGACTCACTGAGCGAAAACGCTCAAGTCTTAAGTCTAGAAGGTCCTACACACCCCGCCTTCCACCCCCTTTTGCTCTGAGCAGCCCTCTTCACACTCTGGCCTTAGCTACTCCCTCCAGCACCCGGGTTCCCTGCTAACCCGCAAACAGCAGGCTGTGGTCTCTGCCCGCAGCCCTGTTCCTTCGCAGGTCCACATGGCTTCCCCCTGAACTCCACCTCTGTGAGCAGCTTTACTCAAGGGCCTTTCTTCTCAGCAAAACCCTCCTTCACCACCCTGTTTAAAAGCTCTCCCTCAGGGATCAGGACGTACAAAGTGGCAGTTACAACTAGTCACAGGGGTGTGACGTACAGCTTAAGGGACACAGTCCTTAGAATTGTAATAATTATATATGGTGGGGGGGGGACTAGAGTGATTGGGGGAATTACTTCGTAAGTTACATAAATGTCTAACCACTATGCTATACACCTAAAACTAATATAATATTGAATGTCAACTTAATTTAAAAATAACAGAATACAGGCTCGCCCTCTTCCCTGCCTTGCTTTCTTAATAGCACTTGCCAGCTTCAAACACATGAACTTTCTTAACTGTTCACCCCCCATTAGAATGTAAACTCCAAAAGGGAGACAATTTTCGCCTGTTTTCTTCCTTACTACAGGCGCAAGGCCTCACACAACACGCATTCAACAAAATTTAGTTGAAAGAATAAATACAAGTTAATTAAACAAATATACACAATTATGTATGTACATTCATGTGTATATATGAGGATTTGTACATAAAAAGATTCATGAGGATTTGAGGGGGGACTTTTACTTTTTTCTTTGAACACAACTATGTTTTGACTTTTTTGCAATAGGCATTTATTATTTTTAGAAATAAAAAAATATTACAAAATATCCTCTATAAATCAGTAATACAAAATACTTTATTAATTTCAACAATCGCTTTATATAAAAACAGGGTATAAATAAAGAGTTAAAAACCTTTCCCCCCCTCTTCTGAGAATTTCATCTTCTTTTAACTTTCTAGCTCTGTTTCCCAGGAAACCCGATAAAGATGAAATGCCAGTGTGTTATGAAGCTACACTGCATATGGTAAAAATGACCTGGAATCAGTCAATTGCACCTGGACTAGGAGGAATCACGAATACCTGATTCCAGAAATGTGGCCTTCCCTGAGAGTACACTGACTGAACTCCGCGTGTCCTTGGTAGAAGTTCCAGCGATGGAAATGGGCTCCTGTGGGACACGGGGCCTGCGCCAAGCGGACCCAGGGTCTCCTCTCCTTGCAGCTGAGCTGCCACTAGCAGAGAGGGGAAACTTAAGCACCAATGGCTCTGTGAACTGCTACAGAGCCGGCTGAGGACTACTCCCGCTACGGGGAGAGGAGGACATGTGCCCTGCCCGCAAGCTAGGCTTTCGGTCCTATAGCCTTCCAAGTGATCTGATGCCAAGAGTGGCTTATGGTAGACTGGTGCTTAGTCTTGTCTTTAGTTGAGCATAAGACGATGATCCCTTGGCGATACTGCAGACTGGTGTCATAAGAGGGTTACACTCTCAGACACTCGATTCAATTTGGCCAAGGCACCATGAGATTAAAGGGATGGGGAGAGAAATGCTAACAAGACACTGACGCCTGGGAGGGAGNTAAGGCACCATGGGACTAAAAGGGATGGGGAGAGAAATGCTAACAAGACACTGACGCCTGGGAGGGAGCTGGGGGAGGCTGATCATCTATGGGCTAACGGTGAAGGCTCTGCAGCCTGTGGCAAGGGATAAAAATGGACCTTCACATAAGCTGGACTGGCAGGAACGAGGGGTCGGGCCCAAAGCAAGCACGGGCACCTGGCTGAGGAAATGAGAATTAGACAAATAACGGTTCCCTAACATATTCAAGCCCTGACATTAATGTTCTTTCCAGAATTTGTGTATTTAACTTCCGGTAATCAACCTTGTGAAATGCTACCCTTCATAAGAGATTTATTTATCCAAACATCCTATAAAGCTGCCAGGACAATCATGAGCCATCTTTTAAGAGGAACAAGAAGGGAAGTTGGTCAGTAAGTGACTCCTTACACTCCAACGAACATCAAAGACATCAGATCACTAAATGGTCATAACTACAAAGGAAGAGCTACAGCAGTGTTTTGATGAGTGCAGAACAATAAACGCTTCCCCCTACTTCTTCCAGCTATGTACTGGTAACTAGTTTTCATCAATATATAACGTTTTATAATTTTCTTTATGTTTTATGTAAATGATTGTGCTCACTCTTAGATATAAAGGGTTGGGCAAAAGTAGGTAAAAAATAATAAATACAATAATTAATAAATAAATAATAATACAAGAATAAACTCAGTTTCATGTACTCACAATTATAAACCTAATTTTGCCCACTCCTACATTATAGGTTAATACTACCATAAAGGGAACCTTTACTTCTGTTTCCTGAAGTGTTCTCACTAGCATGCATGAGCCTATCAACTTTTATATGTAGCAACTATGCTCAACACTAATTGATTTTTTGTATTGTCTTTGTATGCATTAATATCACCNATATGTAGCAACTATACTCAACACTAATTGATTTTTTGTATTGTCTTTGTATGCATTAATATCACCTATAAAATGTATATATAACTGTTTTGTCTCTCCTTCACAATTTCTATTCTTATTTCTTTTTCCTACCTCATTACACTATTTGCTAAGACCTTCAGGGCTGTGTTGAAGGAAAGTAATACTAACAGGTGTCTTCTTATTAACATTAATGGGAACGCGTCTAAATTTTCAACTCCTAAGTATAACATTTGCTGTAGGTTTTGGGATAAATGACTTATTAGTCTAAGGTTTGGTAAGCTTCCTGGTTTGGGCAAAAAATAAAATTTTAGCATGTAGGATTATTGAATCTTACCTAATGTTCCATCTACATGTGTTAAAATGCTCATGTGGTTTCTCTCAATTTCTTAATATATTATTCATATTTTCTGATGCTGAATGATTCTTGCTTTCCTGGGATATAATATCCTTGTCATGATGTTCTGTGTTGCTCAAATAAAGTTGTAAACTTGATTTCTTAGTGCTTTAATTGTTTCCCAGGAAATCTGTGCCAGGATACTTGGCTCTCCAAAGGCTCTTTCTGCTCTACTGCAAACCTAGGCAGGCATCGCGGATTCAGGAAGAAATCTAAGAGGAGGATTTTCTCCCGTCTGTGGTGCTGAAGAAGGATTTTCCACCTTAATCCACTGGAGAGAGAGTGTCAGACTACCTATTGCAAGTCTCTTATCAATTTTTATCTTGCTGCAGACTCCCTTAATACCTGCATTTTGAGAAGCCTACAGGAAAGTTATTATTCAGCAACTCAAAAAGCAGTGAATGACCTGACGTGAGCTCCACAGTGTTTCTGTACAAGTTCCTAGGGTGAGCACACAGGCAGCTGGTAGCTCAATTACTGTTCTAATTAACGCTTTGTATAAGCAGGAAAGGATTAAGAAACCCATTAAATCTGATAAAAATGGACTTGTCAGTTATCCTTGAGGCTTTCGTGGAAGTATTACAACAGTGTTAAATTCATTGTTCTGCAATCTGTATATTAAACATCCTCGTGCAAAATTTTTTTCACAAACCAGCTGGAGTTAAAAATCTCACATCTGTGTTTTCCTGAATTTCTTAAATTGAAGTTGACACACTTGTATACATAATGAGTAATATCCAACCAGAATTTTGTCAAACTAGATTTTAGTAAATTTCTACACACACACAGAACTGTCGATCTTGACGTCTGTGGAATACCTGCATGGGAATCACGTGCGACACTCAGTAAGCACAGACTCCACACCTCAAACGTGTTCCATCTGAACGCAGCGGGAAGTAGGGGGAAGGGGGGACTCATTTTTAACACGTTTGCAGGGGTGACTCACAGGCAAACCGCAGACTGAAAACATTAGTTTACACAAACAATATCGGCAGCCATCCTAGGATAGGATAGAAAGTAGAAATGCAAATCTTCTCCAATGATAGCCTATGTTTCAGCTGCTCTGTTAGCGAATGGCAGTAAGTATCTTTTCATCAAAAGAAGTAAAATACTCATCCACGGACCTGGTCAGGTGGCTCAGTTGGTTGGGGCATCGTCCCACACACCAAAGGGTTGCCGGTTCGATTCCCAGTCAGGGCACATACCTAGGTTGTGGGTTTGATCCCCGGTTGGGGCGAGTGTGAGAGGCAACAGATTGATGTTTCTCTCTCACACTGATGTTTCTCTCTCTCTCTCAAATCAATAAAACTATATCCTCAGGTGAGGATTAGGAAAAAATATATATTTTTTAAAGTCAACTATGGCCATATAATTGACGTGGGTCTAACATATTACGAAAACACCTTCTGTTCCCCACCTTCCACTGAGGCTGGCTGCTCCTCCCTGGGCC